AAGTAGTCTCTATACCACGAAACAACAGTATACTGTCCATTCGTGATTGCTACTGTCAAGGGGTTGCAAACAGCCCGCCAAAACCCAGAGCGACTCTGCTTTGAAGCGACCAGGCATAGCACTGTGTTTACACAGAGCAGCAAAAATTTGTGCCCATTGCCAGCAAAACATGGAGCTGCACTAAAACAATACACAAAAACCACAAATCAAGAAATGGGTGCATGATTCAAACCACAATGTGCTGCTTGATGAGGGACCTTCTAATCCAACCAAGCACTGAGACTGATTTGAAAGCCTTGCGATTCCCTTGTTTTTTGCAGTTACCCTCATGTGAAGCTGGGCAAAAGCTAAGTTCGATGTTCTGTTCCATGTCTGCCGGCGGGTGGTACTTGTCCAGGTTCACCCCGGACAAGTTAACTTATTGAAATAGATATTGCTCCTCGTTGCCGAATTGCTGCTTCGTCCTGCTCCCAGCCAACTCAAGGCAGTCCAACATGGCATCATGATCTTCGATTGGGAAATTCATGAACATTCAGAAATTCATGGCTCCACATGGTAGTAACAAAAAGGATGCGGGAAAAATGTATACTTGATCCAGATCGAACAAGGTCTGTTGTGAAGACGCCGGCTTCATTGAAATCAGGGAGTGATCAAATGCTCTGCCGCGCACCCTGAAGGTTTCCGAAGAGAATATTCCTACATTTGGTGTCTCATAGGGATTTCAAAGGAACCAAACATCTGGTTTGCAACACAACGCCTCTGACAAAGGCTTCCCAAAGAAGTTCCCAAAGGCCAAAAGTGTCCAAACAAAAGTCAAACTGTCCATGCAGGATCAAACATTGTTTTGCCACACGTGGTTTGCTTAAAAACTGCATATGCCTGGATATTACATATATAATTACCACATACCCTCTGATTTATGGCAAATTTTAGGAAAAAAAATTGTCCAGTGGATTTGGGGGGTGCCCTAGCGGCAGGCACATGCATCTGGAAGGTTGCCACTGGTTTTCATACCCATAGGATAGCCAGCCCGAGCAGATCTGGGGAAAACGATCGTGCATCTAAGCAGCGGCCAGCAAGATTTCGAGCACTGAACTCGATGCGATTTTGGTTTCACTAAAAGGTTTGGTTCGTAGAACAGCTATAGCCTTTCAAAACAGCTAAAAGTCTGAATATGTCTTAATCAGTATTTTGTACACCATTCATTGGATGGTCAATATGATTGTTAAAGATTACGATCCTGTTCGAACAAGTTGACCCACGCTCATCCTCACGTCTGCCAAAACAAACACTTGCTTTGTGACATTGGAGAGTAATGTCAACCCAGGATTAATAAACCTTGATTCGATTAGGTTATCATAAAAATAGTGATAAATCGTTATTAGACTTGGTACCCCCTGTCAACAATCAACTCGGGGGTTATCAATCCTGGGTGAACATCACACCTTGCCTTAGGGCCTTAGGGCCATCTGTCCACCCATCTGGACGACTGGCTCGTCACAGCGTCAGTCGATCAGTTGACGACGCTTGTCATTTCTGCTGGTGCGCAGCCTCACATCGCCTTGACGTTTGGCGATGGGACAAAATCGTCGAATCTTTGGGATATAGTTGGAATATCATGGGGATAAAACAACCGTGGCATATGATGAGATAATTAGGAACATTTGATTAGACTGCTACTACACTGCAAATCTTTATGAAGTAATTAGTCAAACCCGGTCGATCTTGTTGGGATAACTTGAACCAACCATGAATAGATATGAATTGTTGTGGCTGTGGAGATCTTTCATGAATTTCATTGGCTAAAAATTGCTATGGATTGATGGGGAATTACCAAGGGTGACCTGTTTCACCGGAGATCTCCGACGGCTTTAAGCTGTTGTTTTTGAAAGAGTTCAATGCAACACAACATCCGTGGTTCGGCTGTGAACATCACATATTTTGTTAGAAGAAATGCTTTATGATGTCGGACATGTTCCGCTGAAAGAATCCAGAAATTCCAGCAGAACTGGGATGCTTCCCAGAGATGGATTTTTTTTTCGCAACGCCCAGTCATCGATAGAAAAGTTAGCCTGGAAATCAGTTCCAATCTTTTTGTCGAACCCTAGGCCCTAGGCCCTACTTATATACGTCGTATAAAGGGAAATCTCCAGGCAAATCTTATGTGTTAATGGTAAACACGATGGTAAAACTATGGGTTTATACGAAAACAAACCGATGATCATGTCATCCTCTAAATTCCAGAAAACACTGTGTATAGATGGGTTATTGCTGCATGGTTGATGGTCATGTAGCTACTATTTTGGATTTTCCATCCAAAACGAAAACATGGTTTCAATCATTACAATTGACGCATGAATTGGAAAATATCTTGAGGCGCCTCCCTGACGGAAAAACATGAACCAACCGCTGCCTATTTCATTTATTGACATATACCACCCCCCCAAGTTACATAGAACCTGCACTTTGCAGGGCTTGCGGTGCAAGACTACTTTCCATCTAAAACTCTATGATTCACAGGGTCTAAGGGGATGGTACTTTGAATCACCGATCCAGTGGGAAATTTTTTAGTCGACTCTGTTCCATGCACCAATAGGATTCTATAACTAATAAGCAATGAGAACCATTCCTTGTGGGCAAGGTTTCTTAATGGGAAATCGGGTTAACTGGGGATCTGGTTCATGGTTTACCATGGTTTACCACCATCTAAGCACAGTACCACCATGTACCACCCAAAAACCGCAGCTGTCCATTCTGTCAAAGCACGTCCATCAGTGTCGTCCGAATTCTGGAAGAACCTCTGAACCTGGAGAGAAAAAGCAGCTCTTACAGGCTGGGGCCCCAAAACGATGGAACATGGTGATTTAACCAGAATAACAACGGCTGATCTCTGATAGCTAAGTTGGTGAACATAACTCCAATAACTAGGGTTGATTAGGGGGATATAGCTATAGTATGCTATATAGTTATATCAAAGGGAATATCACCCAGCTTATAACGAGGGGGACCACCCTACTTACAGCTTCCCGAGCTGGCCCGAAAACGCCTGATCAGGATTTGTCCATACGTACGGAGCAGGGATCCCCCCCGAAAGATGGAGAAAAACAAGCGCATCTTTTCTGGGTTCAAAAAAGATCAAAAAAGCCTAGATCCGCTGATCAAAAATCATGTCACCCATCAACATGGCCAGAAAAAATTGGGAGTAGACCCCACTGATGATCGATTCAACCCGAAACCAGCAAAAACCACTGACCCCGTTCTGGTTTTCCGACCAAAAATAGGACCCAGCCATTCTTAATCATTTTTTGCCCGGCCTGTGTCAGGGTCTCTTCAGAGAAGAGGGAGATGTAGACCTTGAGCTTTGGATTTCCGATTTTCCTGGCATACTCCTGGCCAAGTTATGGTGAAGCCACGGTCCCCGAGGTTCCAGGGGCATGAGAGGTGGCTATATGTTTTCTTTTGTGGACTATTGTATATATACATATATATATATATATATACGGGGATGTGACATGTACATACCAATATTTATCAATATTTGATGTAATAATCCGCAAGTAGCCAAATTGGCTACTTGGAGATGCTTAACTGCTTAGTGATTCCTTCTTAAACATCATATGGACCCCAACATGAATAGGGTCAGTTTTAAACCATGGATTTCTGGGAAACATTTTCTCTAAGGGGCAAGGGGTTGCTTGAGTGGCTAGACATACAGTGAATGATATGACAAGTGCTGGTTGGTGGTTGACCTACCCCTCTGAAAAATCATGGAGTTCGTCAGTTGGGATGATTTTTCCATTCCCAATATCTGGAAAGTCTAATAAAATTCCATGGTTCCAGTCACCACCAACCAGAGTGGCAAACCAACATCAAGTGATTGTGGTTGCTGCAAGCCCCTTTCATATCTTTCATCGTGCTTTGGTGAGAAAAGCCATCCCAAAGCTACGTCAAATTGTTTCAGAATCCCAACGTCATGGTGGCAAACAATGCATCAAACCATGAACCAGATGAGAAACCCATTGGAAACCCATTGAAAAACAATATACTGTACGGGGTTCAGTTGGGGTTAGTTTTTTGGGTACAACCCTTGTGAGCTCACTTCATAAGTTGAGATACGGGGCTCCTATATCTATCGATATGGTAGGGATAGCAGCTGGATAGCGTAGCCATTTACCGAATAAACAGAATGCTTCACATAGTGGACATAGTGGAAGAATCATGGGACAGAAACGACATTATATGGGTTTGTCTGAAAATGGTGTATAGCCCCCAAATGGCAAATGGTACTTATACTAGGTAAAATTATGTTTCAGCAATGGATTTGAGGTACCCTAATTTCTGACAAACTCATACGGAGGTTTCCAATCCATGGGGGTATACCCCCAGTCATCATCAAGTTCTGGGAATTTCCATGAAATGAACTTCAATAAACATTCCAGAAATGGGGGTACCCCCAAATCATCCACTTCTAGACAATAAACCATCCAGCTGAGGTATCCCCATGTAAAGCCCCAGATGGCCCATATGGGTCTTCGTTCACGAACGAACCGCGCCTTCAACGCCAACAGTCTTCGGTTATCGATACAGCGCCTCGGACAAACAAAAAACAGCCGTGGCACGAACTGCGAACTGCGAAGCAGGCCACATTTGGGTAAGAACATGTGATAATAAGCAAGAAAATAGTGGTTATTACCAATGTGATAATGTGACTGATTTGCCAATAATCCCATATGTTGGATAAAATATTGAAATAACTATACTACCAATCTGATAATATGACCACTACTCCTATTTTGTCAATGTTGGTTAATAACTATATGACATATTATGAAACAACATGAAATCACCTAGTTGGATTACAAAGGGATATACCCGAGAAACATGATATGGGTTAAACGTCATTATACGTATGTATAATAAACCACAAAGTTGGGATATCACCCCTAACTGTGGTGAAATAATGTGTTTTTTTTTCACTTGGTTCAATGGAACTACGACCCTAAGTCCTCATCAAACACTTTGTATACCCTCCAATAAACTAACGTAGCCATAGAGCATCACCATTCCAAAAAATAGTAAATCATCTATTTCTATGGGCCATCTATACCACATCTAGTTGAGTTTACTCAGATCTATATAGATCTATATAGATCTATGGGCCATCTATAATCCGAATTCAGTTCAGGGATTTCACCTTGGATGTCACATCACCTACTTGCTGGCTCATCCCGCGGCTCGTAAGTGAGTTTTAACCCCAGTTATAAGTGGATTAATTATTGGATTAACCCTACTTATCCCATGTAAATCACTGGGGTTATAACCCACTCCCATAGGATCCATGTATGGTATATATTGGGGGTATATTGATGGGATCCATGTTACCACATATAGCAGCACCATGGATCCTCTGGGGACTTACTAAGTGGGTAGTTCGCCACCAAGTACGCCACGCCAGTTGTTTGGCCACGTGGCAGTTCGGGTTTCCGACTCTTCTCATCTCTGGTCTCGAAGACCGTCAGCCGCAGGAAGGGCGCGGAGATATCCACCTTGCCCGTCTCGAGGTCCTTCACCAGCTGATCCACGGTGCGGCCACATTGGAAGGTGTCCTGCCGTGGAGATGACCAAGTTACCATCTGGTTATTCAACAGTTTGCCATGGAAAATGACCCATTTATAGATGGTTTACCTATAACCAGATGGTACTGTAATCAAAGATCTACGGATCTACGGGATATCCATGGATATCCTACTGATTACTGCATAAAAAAATGATCATTTGAGGTTATGAGACCTATCTCATGTTCTGATACACGCTTGCGATTTAATGCTATTTACTATAGCGGTAACGTTGAGCACTTAGGGGCTTTTTCAAAGGGAGATTACATTGGGAGATCGCCTGGAACATCCTTCAATCCAATGGGAAATCCCTGAACTCGCCGACGTTTCGAGCGAAAATCATCGAACTCAACGGGGCATTGTCCATTGTCATGTGTCGTTTACCGGATATTGACTGGTTGGTGGTTGACCTAGCCCTCTGAAAAATGGAGTTCGTCAGTTGGGATTATTCTTCCCAATATATGGAAAGTCATAAAAAATGTTTGAACCCACCAACCAGATGTCATTACTTCATAGAACCATCCCTAAGTTGTTCATTTCTCCGCCAACACTTTGGAATACTCGCAGCAACCAACCTTCATGTTGAGCAACCAGCAACCAGTGCTGTTTTTCGTGAAATTCCAATGTCTTTTTGAAGTAAAGCTCCCCAGCTCCCCACTCCCGGCAGCCCAGGGCAGCCCGACCTTGCAGGACTTCTGGGAGTAGAGCAGGTTGCGAATGTCAACGGCGCACGTCTTTGAGTCGTCCACGCCGCCCTTCTTCCCCTTCCGTCGTGGCCCGGAGCGCAAGGAGCTGCGACGTCCGGTGCGGCCCTTCTTGGGCGGTGGATAGGGTGGCTCCTGACGTGGAGGCGACCCGGGGAAGCCCATGGGGAAGCCCCAAAAATGACCTGAAAAACGCCACTTCTATGGCCATCCTGGATCATGATTATCATGGCAAAAATGATGGGGGATGAGCAAAATTATATCATATGGGTAAAATATGGGTAAAATGATGATCACGCAGTGGATGGAATGGGGCACCTGGCCTCATCTTGGGACAAAACCATTTCTCAAGTTATAACATGAGCAGCCCAATTATCATCTGGTTATTCTGGTTAAATTTGCAACCTCATAGGATTGGGGTACATCCAAAAACAACGATATCTTAAATTTGGAAGAATTCATCATCAACCAGCAGTTCTTGGGGTTCCCCAGGTTACTGCCGTCTGATCCTGGGGCAAAGGACTTCGACCGCGCTTGCCTGGAAAACTGATGAGTCACTGACATGTCATGGGATTTAAATGGGAATGGAAAGTATATGTTCGTATATTTTCCAATGAAATTTCATGGTGACATATAAATCCAGTCAGATTTCATGATTTTATGTTTCATGGGGTTTAAATGGGAATTGAACCAATCAACATGGAATAGGATGGGGAGATGTAATGGTATACAACCCTTCCAACAGTGGACATGTTTGGACACTCTAAGTGTGTCAGGCGAAACAACATGAAAAAAAAGTTTCATGTTGCATTCGAGAAAAACAATGAATTAAAAACATTGACGTAGTAATTACCAAAGGCTGTGAGCAAATTCCCATGGCCCAGGCGGCAGCGTGGCGCCTCTCTGTGGCACCTGCCAAGTCGACGTGATAACGTGGTGCTTGTGGTGCTTTTGATCATGTTCCCCCCGACATCCCATGACTGACCATCCATAAATTGGGATCATATACCCAATTAAAAGACAAACCATATGATCCGTAAGATATCATATGAAGTCATATGACGTATTACGGGGCTATAAACGGGCAAACATGGAGACATTCCTAACTACAGTAGCCAACCGTAGCAACAACTACAACCCCTTTTTAACCATGTCCTGCAATTCGGACAAAATCAAAGCCCAATGTCTTTGATTTCTATCACAATCTACGATTGATGATGAATTTTTAGAGGAACCATCGATATTTCGTTGGACAATCCCATGGGTTCCTGTAGATTTTCCAACCAATCCATTGAAGGAGACAAAAGCGACAGCAGCGCCTCACCACGCGCTCTTCTCAGGATTTCGCGGCTCCTTTTCACGACCTCATCAACGTCCATGGCCTCGGAGTTAAGCAGCTGAGGGGTCGAGAGACTAGGGAAATCATCGAAAATAGAGATACCCTCTGGTAATTTCAAGATGATCATTGATGATGATTTCCAATATATCATCAAATATCATGAATTATATTAATGTAATTGAACATGGCCCATAAAAATAGTTGTTTTACCTAATAAAGATGGTGAATTTCCATGTCCATAGCTATGTTAGTTTACCAGAGGGTATCGCCAAAAACCAACAGCACTACAGTAGATAGGGGTTCCACATTCAATTTAATTGTGGATATGGGGCCGCTGGAATATTTTGGATCATTGATGATGAACCAGAAGATTCAGTCGCACACGACTTTTCAAACCATATAGTTGCTTCTTGAACACCATATAGTTTACCATCAGCTTCACATTGCAATTTCGGTGAAACTTACAACCCAACCAGCTCTTGGTCCAAAAATGAGGGATGGGCCTCCTATTTGTGGCCATTGAAGGGGAAACCAACCATTTTCAAAGTCGCTGGATTTTGGGGTCACGGAGAAACCCACATTTGGGTGGGGATCCAACCACCCCAATTTTGGTAAGCCTGTCAGTGATGGTTTGTTCAACCCTTAAGTGGTGGGTATAGTTACTGTTACTAAGCCCGGCTACGAGCCGTTCAGCTACGATTTCTTTGGCGCTATGTTTTGGGGGTTCGGTTGAATCCCCATGATGCCCATGAATTCGTTATAGAGTCACACACCCCGTTGGAAAAAAACCTTTTTCCCAGTTTGAAAATCAACCCAAATCTCTGAGAAAACGGGGTTTTCTGAGTCCAAAATGTCCGAAATCTCTGGATGTTTCTGACCTCAGGCTCTTCAGGCTCTTCCAGCTCTTCTTCTTCGACCAACTCATAGACAGAGTCGTAAGCTTCGTATGCATTACTAGGGGCTGGGACCTGGGCAGTCGGACACCATGGCTTTCTCAATGGAGGAACCATTTTCAATGGATGCTGTCATCATCATCATCATCATCATCATCATCATCATCATCTTCATGAAAATATAGTATATCTTCAATAGCATCATATCCACTGCTTCATCATTATCATCAATTGTGCTATTGATATGTTACAATGTTGCTATTGAAAATACTATGATATTTCAATGATGTTTAATAGCCATGCAATGGCATTATCATATATTATCATCATTTATCATCACTAAAATATCAAACATCAGATTCAATGAATCCACCTTTTAATAAGAGGTTCCGGTGGATAAAAAGGATATGAACTATCCGGGGCATGATTCAATGACCAAAACAACGAAGACCCCAAGGCAGCAACAAGCAGTCCCCTGGGTGGGTCTCCCGACGCGAGGGAAGGCCTCGGTCTCCACATCACTTGGATCCTCTGAGTTGTCTCTGCAGGCATCTTGTTGCAAGGAGAGCTCCTTCCGTGCTGAGAGATCGCGACAGAAATTCGGAAGCGAGATATTCGAAAACCCCAAAATTGCGATGTGTAGCAACAAATATGAAGGTTTAACCACATAATTTTGGATTAAGAGTTGATTTAGTTGATTTATGATTGGTAAACCCCTCTCTTGATTATGGGATTATTTAACTACTAAACCAAACGTTTTGGACATAATACTATAATTAATATAGTATAGTGGGGATATCGGGATATCCGTCATACGGGAAAAACAACCTACAATATTTGGATATTTATGGATTTACCCAACCTGCCATTCCATACTGGTTGGTTAAGAATGGGATTCTCACAATGGTTTACGATAATCACTGATAACCCCATATAGTGAGTATAGTATAACCCCTATATAATATGATCAATCAACATGGATCTTGAACAGTGCTAAAATGTACTGTAAACCTCTTATAGCTGAGGACAAGGAAACTCAAGGGATTCAACGCAAGTGTCCTGTTTCAGTTCCTCGCGTGACTTCTTCATATCCTGTCGCAGCTGCTCCTTTTTTTCTTTCCATCTCTCCAGCATCTCGGCAAAGTGACCAATTCTTTGGGATGGCTCGTCTTCGTCGTCCTCCTGATCCATATCTAGCTCAACCTGTCGCGCAGAGAGCAAGAACCAAGGACATCCAAGGACCTCAAGGCATGGAATCGTTGACTGTCAGCCTCCTTAGGGCTTTCAGGGAAAATTCACAGAAAGCTCTTTCTTGACTATATCATATTTATGTGGGTTGGCTCCTGTTAATTTTCAGCTCTGGGATAACTCCATCCAAAATGACAACTACAGACCCTCAACCATCTGACCCCGCATTTGTGCCTCAGTCGATGGTTTCTCGACGTTTGGCTTTTCCTGAAATGAAAGTCAGGATGCAACTTGTCTCAGACAACAGTGTGGACACACTCAGAATAATATGCTTTATTCATATCTAGAGCTTTCCTAAATTTTGGGTACCCAAAAGCTGGATGGTTTATGGTGGAAAACCCATCTATAAATGGTTTTTTTTGGGTACCCCCATTTATGGAAACCTACATTGAACTTTTCCTGCACATCATGAGTCCTCCGCATGGCCGTCCGGTGGATGGTGCGACTTCCTCTCCTGCGCCAAAACGCGTTCAACAAGACCTGGGGATATAATCATCAAACATGGGGGACAAATGGATAAAACAAGTATATCATGTTCATTATACAGATAATACAGAATGTAATATGGTTGATTACGTACAGCCTTTAACCACCAGAAATGGGGATAAATCATCTTTTAGCAGTGTTTGAACTCCTTTTTGGTCGATGACTAGTTCGAAAATATGGGCGGCGACTTTGGCGACTTTGACCCGAAATCTCCATTGGTCTCCTTCCAGTCCGAGTCTTGCTCTTCCGATGCCTCCGTACGATTTTTGCCATGCTACAGTGTTTTCCACCATGATGTTTAAGGATTTTTAAGGCACGTAAACGTGATGAGCACAGCTTAAGGGCAGGACACGGCAGGACACAACTGTAAGTACACAAAACGGATGCAAGTAATGTCGACCCAGGATTGGAAATACTTCAAATTTCTCCCAAGCCACTTGTGTGTTTTGTTTTGCGTTGTTACGAGGAGGTCAAAAAACTAGTGCTAATTCTAAAACCAGTGATTTTCTTCCAACCTATGTCCTATATCCGACAGGATCCATGTATGCTATATATGGTAACATTTACCATCAATATACCCCCACTGTTAGCATATATACCATACATGGATCCTATGGGTATTACTATGGATATGTTCATGGTACCTCCGGCACCTAAAACAGATCAGCAATATGTAGGGGGTAAGTTCGGGGGATGACAATACTGTTTTGAAACCTCCAAAATGAGGTTTCTCTCGACAGAACAGTTTTGCAAAGAGACCAATCTAATCCGAAAAATATGATTAATATCTTATTGTTGAGGATAGTGTGACTTGCTTTTTTAACCTCTGGTAATTTAACATAGCTATTGAAAATGGCCATAGAAATAGTGGATTTTCCCATTAAACATGGTGATTTTCCATAGTTTTTTGTTAACGTTTACCAGAGGGTAAGTGCCAGTTGCATTGCCAGAGGATTCCCACATCAGAAAGTCAGCTGTTGGGAATCTGATCAAACGTGGCGCCTTCTCATCAGACCATCCGCGAGTCCGTTCCTGCGGCTCGGAAATGAGCGAAAATCGTCGCCATATCCAACGATTTGAAGACTTGGTCGTATCTTCATCGCAAAAAAAAACTGAACCCACTTGACTTATATATATAGTCTGTTGTCTGGAAAAACCATGTAAAACCATGTACTGGTAAAACCAGTACCCCCAAAAGTCAACAAAACCCCAAAAACGTGAAGATCTACAGTAATTCATCCGGAAAAAAGTGACAATAGCTGCAGCATATTATACAGTTGACCTTCCGTCAGCCATCAGTTCTTGATTACACATCTCATTTCTAGGAATGCATTCTTTCTTGTAAATAGACCCATGGTAGTAGTGAACAGAACATTATAATTCATTATATAACTCAATTGCCTGATCCTAACAGCAAGTACTTCAATCACCATTAACGATAGAACAACGGTGGAGTTTCGTTGACTCAAAAAAATGGGGGCTATCTTTGATGGCGATCACCTGCTATCCAGACCTTCTCTTCCGGCCATGTCTTCAAGGTCTCTGGCTCCCAGTTCTGCCAATCTTTCTTCCAGTCGCTCCAGTCTTTCCACTCCTGGACAAGCAAAGTCATGGATGAGAAAGATCACATGGAAAAAACTCGGGAAAGCAGACTTCTACTTCGGTTTTGTTAAGCAGTTAAGTACCTATAGGATCCTAAGTAGGTATAGAGAAAACATTAAAAAACGAGGCCATGATGTTGGTGGGATCAATTCTCGCAAGTTGTAAAATTCATGATCCCAACTGCAGCACCAGGCAGCATCAATCTGCCATCAAGATCGCAACGTTTTCTGAAATCAAAAGTACGTGTTCACATGCGGAAAAAAAACCTGGGGTACTGTATATGGTATACTGAAAACTGGCAATTCTGACTGGAAAAACAACGAGCACAGGAATTTAGGAACACATCATCTTGATTCAACCGTTTGCCTTGTAGTTGAGGATCCAGCTAGTTAAACAGGAAACTCTAGAAAAATCGCTGAACAACAACCCCCAAGCAGGAACCTTTGGCACCTTTGAGGGACCCACTTCAGATGCACTGACACTCAGACGGTCAGACCTCTGCCTTGACTTCGGTGTGCTTCCACGATTGCGCCTGTATTGATGGGCGAATGTCAATTGACTTCAAGCAAAGACAGTGTATGTTTAAGAATGATTTTGAAAACAACGAAGATCCTGTTTAAAATATTCAATCAATATTAATTTATTCATATTTATTCGTACCAGTACATCTGTTGGTTTCGTTTCACATGCCGAGCAATGATGGCATTGCCGCTGACTGGCCTGGCTGTTTTCGTCCTGGGACTGTCCTGTCCACGACCATTCCTGGACGGGCCCAAATGACAGCTTTGTGTTACCGCTTTTGAAGGTTTGAAAAAATGGAACACCAAATGTGGTCCTAGAAAATGACAGGTCATACAGTATTGATTCATATTGTGTGAAATTGTCCAAAGTTTTTCAGAACCGGGTAACACTACATTCTTCCCGAAAAACTGCGGTCCCAATCCATGATTTAAGGGAAGAATCGACAGGAAACCATGGATTTTCATATGAAATGTCCAATCCATTGTTTGAAACCTGAATTGGTGAAGCATTATGGTCAATGACCGCCATCTGGCCAAAATTTCAAGGCAACCAACAGATAAGAAAAACAACTCTCCAACAGCTCAACCCAGCGGTTTTCTCCTTGACGTCCCACGTGATTTCCTGCTTGACGTTCCAAGTAGTTTCCTTCTTGACATCCCATGTGCTTTTCTTCTGGACGTCCCATGTGGTTTCCTTCGTGACGTCCCATGTGCCTTCCTTCTTGACGTCCCACGTGGTTTCCTGCTTGACATCCCAAACAGTTTCCTTCTTGGGGTCCCACGTAGTTTCCTTGACATCCCACGTGCTTTCCTTCTTGACATCCCATGTGCTTTCCTGCTTGACGTCCCAGGTGCTTTCCTGCTTCATACCCCACGCGCTTTCCTGCTTGACGTCCCATGTGCTTGTCTGCTTGACATCCCACGTGCTTTCCTGCTTGTCATCCCAAATAGTTTCCTTCTTGGCATCCCACGTGGCTTCCTCCTTGACGTCCCACTCGCTCCATGCCTTTGCACGATTTGGCAAATTGGCAATCAGGCAATCAAACCCAGCCCTTGTGTAGTGTGCATGGTGCCGCAAGGGTGCTAGAAACGCCTTTGGAAGGATTCTAGCCTTTAGCCTTCGCAAACCAAGAAATTTTCAGGGAATGATGCCCACGGAATCAAAGGTATGTTCTGCATTGTTCTGCAACGTCTCTTGCAAACAAGTAGCTGAAGGTAAAATGCGTTTGAAAAGGCAAACAAGAACATCACCACACAAACGCCCAATGTGTCTGCATATTTTTTCCATGGAATTTTGGGCATGATCAATGAATGATATGGCACCTTACCTCCTTCTGTTGTGATCTCCCTCCACTTTTCCAGCCTGGTCCTGCTTACGCCACGGGAACCCACTCCAATCGCCCCGTTTCCGTTCATTCCAATCTTTCCACTCCTGACAGCAGCTCAACACATAGCCCATACTCTTCAATTCTGCAATAAAATAATTTTGGCCATGCTTTGTATATATCCCCAGCAGTGGCATTAGAGTCTTGAAGTGCTCATCGAAGGTTTACATAGACGTCTTGGCTATATATATATATATATAATATATATATAATATATATATATATAATATATTATATATATATATATATTCCATTCTATCCCATTTGCTGGCCAATCATCACATGGTCATTTTGGAACATACCGCATTTTCAGACACCCATCTCTCCTGTTGATGTCTATGATTTCCCACATTTAAAACCCCAATGTATCCCCATAAAACGCTGTCCCACTATTACCCTGTGGTAAACGTTTACAAAAAGCTATTGAAAATGGCCCAGTCGAAATAGTTGAATTATGTTGAATTTATATAGTTGAATTTCCCATTCAAAATGGTGATTTTCCATCGTTTTTTCTTAACGTTTACCAGGCCGGGTATCCCCAACTATTTCCCCATAAAATGATTGTGAGTGAATCCCACCATTCCATGTGGATTTTCCATACGAAATCTCTTTGACGACTCGTCGCGGTCTGGTCTCCCCGACCGGTCTCCTCCTTCCCTTCGCTGTGGTTCCATTCCTGCATTCATCTGGGTAAATTATCATATTTCACTAACCTGAATTTACCCAGATTCATGAAAAGAGCAGCTGGTTGTTGAACAGCTTGTCTCTGAAAAATTGAGGGAACATATCCAAACTCCAACGGTTCATCGAATAAAAACCATTTAAAAAGCCATAAGCCCAATATATACCCATCATATTGCTGGTGTATCTGGCAAAAATATGCAAAAATGCTGTTTTAACACATGTATCCCATTTTTTTTACACGAACAGAAGGAAAACTCGTCACGCACGACTTGGTGCACAAACACAGAAAGAACAAACATGTTCACGTACATAACATCATGACATGTCCATATACGTAATGTATAATCATATAATCATATAATCATATAATCATATAATCATATAATCATATAATCATATAATCATATAATCATATATATATAAACATGATGATTTGCACAGTATATTAATTAATTAATACTGTACCATATTAATGATCATTAATATGTATATTGTATACATGTACTGTGTACATGTTTTAACACACCTTCTATTCGCGGTCGCCTGACTCCCCGAAGCCAGCTTCTGCTGTGGCGATGGCAATGTTCGCACCTACTTTTTGGGCGATGCAAAAATCATGGGAAGTAATGGGGTTTAAGCAACCCAAAACTGGGAAGCAATATGAAGCAATATGAAGCAATGGTTTTTCATGGGTTTTTTCATAATGATTTAATACTGGTTTAATGGGACTAATGGAAGCAATGGTTGTATTCTGTTATATTGATAGGCATATGAACAAACAACTGTAAATTCATCTAGAACTGGATCATTTTTACACGTCTATGTTACGTAAATTCCTAGAGGGTAATCGTGCACCAACAGCAGGCCGTATCCCAGGTCAAAATCATTGCGATCCTCGCAACTCTTATGTCAATGCATTGATCTTAAGCGAAGATCTACAGTGAAGCACAGGAAACCGCACTAATTATGTCGCTATGTCCTCTTTAAACATTTAAAAACTGTAGAATTACCATCTGGTTCTTTAACAGTTCGCCATGGACAGATCCACCATTTCTCAGTTCGGTAAGCCATCTATTTCGATTAGGGCCATCTATCCCATGGCAAACTGTTAGTCATAACATGTCATAACCAGTGGAATTACCCTCTGGTAATTTAACATAGCTATTGAAAATGGCCATAGAAATAGTGGATTTTCCCATTAAAAATTGTGATTTTCCATAGTTTTTTGTTAACGTTTACCAGAGGGTAAACCTTTAAAAACACCACCCTGAGGGAATTCCATGTGGGCCTCCGAGGAGGTCGGCATCGGAAGGCCGTCGGACCTGGCGCCAAACTTTTCCAACATCCGCAGGGCATCGGACTGCGCCGCTTGGGAGATCATCTTGCCACCCACCGCCACCTGGCAGCCGGGCAGCCGGGTGAGTTTTGCTGATTTCCATGGGGATTTCCATGGGGAGCTTCCCCCAGGAAAATCCATGAAATAGATTGGGATAGTCCGAGAGTTCCATGAAAGCATCCAGCTTGGAGCAATGAAAACCCAGATTTTCGGAAACCTCTGGTGCATAACGAAAACCATGGATGAAAGCATTCATGAAAGCGATAAAATAATCAACATCTCCGCGTTTGAACAAGTCGGATTTCGTTAAGAGGCCCCAAGCAAATAAAGACTATTCACAATAGTTTGCCAATTCCCTCTGGATATCCCCTTGGACAAGTCAAAAATTATTGACTCAGCAAATCCAGATTCAACCTTTATATCACCATTATATCCCCAGCAAATTCCCATAGTCATAACTTCGTTGGTTTTACACCAGTCTCCAATGATATCCCAAATCTTTAAATAACTCATCTGAATACTTAAGAGTTGCATCCTATTGTATCCCATGTTCATTGGTTCAATTCCCACAATTTCCCCATAGGAAACCCCCAAAAAGAACCGTCAACGGCCAGTCATAGGAGCTGCATCCCGGTGCAGCGGTAAGCCAGCTTTTAAGCGTTAATTCTCCACCTGGGTGAGAACTTGCACCAGTTGGCTTTTAACCTCGGAGAACTTGGTCCACCAAGACGAAAAAACAAAACTGAATAAGTATATGTATCTAATACACATGTCAGTCTCTATAGGTATACTAATTGGTTCGTACACCAGGATAAATACATACATATATATATATATATACCAGAATATGTGTATATCTACTATATATGTGTCTCTGTCTCTCTCTCTCTCTATCTATATGTATATATACGTAAATAATAATACATTTACCCTCTGGTTATTTAACATAGCCATAGAAAATGGCCCATAGAAACAGATGAGTTTCCCCGCTACAAACCTCCATTTATTTCAGGGAGTAGGATGGATTAGGGATGATTTTCCATGGTTAAATAACCAGATGGTAGGTGTATATTTATGGAACCTCATTACGAGATATCGTTGGGATGGATGGAAGCCGCTGGAAGCTAACCTTCCGCAGTTACACCGAGGTGGATCGGTAAGGCGCACACCGAGGGGATGCCAGGGGTGAGCGGCGTCTCTTCGGGCCTGCCGTCATGCAATGATCATACACACACGTCCACATATCTACATAGAAATATCAAACCTTAACTTTTCATTAATATATATATATACACATAATATGTTAATCGGAGGTTATCTCCCCGATTATGTACTGATGTTTGGTCTTGAAGTAGTTGTCTTCAGTGACGACGGCACACGAGTCGCGGCTTCAGCATAGCGATGCTTTCTTCCGGTGCTGCAGTGGTCTTGAGCCAAAGGGGCAAGTTGACGCACCCCTTGGCGTTGGATCCTTGAGGGCTGCATTATGTGTGGGTGTACAGTGTTCCGTAGCCTACACTCTATTCGCACCCCCCACGCATGGCCAACTTTGTCGGCCACGCGCAAAGGAGTGTCCCTTGAATTGATCCACTAAATCTGCAGCTGTTCATTTGTTGAATTATGGAGAGCTAAAGTCCGTTCAGAACTTCAATTCTACATGGCGGCTTGCTACGATCTCTACCAAAAGATAAAGGTTCTGTTCACGTGCATGTCGACACGACGTAGTCGGTGTCAAGCATTGAGGTTCATCCGATGTGGCGTAGCCAGCATGGAGTCCCACTCAAGCATGTGAATTAAAAATCAAAACGCAAAGATGACTATGGAACTAGAAGTTTACCTTCCCGTTCCTTCGTCGGTTGAGATGTAGACCGCTGCAGAAACTCAGCGTCTCGTGCAATGATGTTCAAAAAAAAATGTGGTTCTAAATTAGCCGGCTCAGAGTCCTCTCAGAAATCATTCGAAATGAAGTAGAGGTAAATCTCGAGCAATGATTGCATCCTCGCATCGCCAGGTTCAATCAGGACCTATGCAGAGGTCATATCGATTTATCATCTATATCCCCATCCATAGTATCCGTGTTGGTTCCAGTCTCCACCACGGTGCGAATAAGATCTTCCACCTTTCCCTTGGTCTTTTCCACCTTTCTGTGGCGGTGTCACTGGAGCTTGTTTTGGCGGAGGAGCGGCTTCGACGGTTCTCCATGTTGCTGACGATGATGCTTTCGCTTTTGACACTCTGCCCAGTGCTGGTGCTGCCTTCGGGGCTGCCTTTGATTTGCCAGCTGCTGGATTAGTACGTTCACGATCGGCAGGAATCGGGGTATCAGCAATCGCAAGTAGGTGGGCTTCTGTCATGTGGATGCCCCATCTTGGTCGTTGATCATCCCGCTGCTTGATGTGGTTGTAGTCATTGATTGCATCATACAGTCTTTGGAGTAGAGGTCGCGGCAATTGTCGGCCATTTTGAAGGATCAGATGCAAAACTGAAATTCTTCGAAGAGGAGGTCGAAGAGCACACACAATGTCAACTGGGTTCAGTGTGATCGTGTCTTGAAAGTCGACGTTCCTGAAGAAATAAACAGCGTTCACTCTGTATGCACCTGCAGTGATTCTTCTGACTAGGACATCTTGTCGGTCAAGGGCTTCGCGGGCGGCTGTGGTCTTTCTCATCTCATCCCTTGTTGAGTCATGTTTCGACAGTTTCTCCATCTCTTCATCGTAGAAGATATTTTGCAAGTCTTCATATGTGTAACCGCATTCAAGGGTATACACGAGAAGTCGTTTGAGAACTACCGCCCCATAGTATGCATTGACGAATCCCTCTTCTCCGATGTCGTCCTTCTGCTGTGGTCGGCCGATTTCCTTGTAGAGCTCTTTCATCTGTTGTGCAGTTGGCTCAATGAGTTCACCATTCTCATCCTCACCCAGATAAGGCACCCTTGAGTCCAGGTCCATCCTGAACTTCTGGTTCTGTTGAAAGTGTTTCCATGCCGTCTCAATGTCTCCACAGAAGTTCCGTTGGAATAGTCTGTAGATCCTGACGATATGTAATCCAATCTGCAACAGGAGGATTTTGATGAGCTCCGGCTGAGCATCTCCAATTGTACAAGGTTCGATTGGTAGGACTTTTGATCCAAACTCAACCCTTTTCAGCCACTTGGGGTACTCAATCACTGCATCATGAGCCTCTCCAGCCTCGTATTCCTCGATGTTGATTTCATCGACCTCTATCTCTTCATCGTCGTTCTCATCAGTTTGTTTTCCTTCCTCATTGATGAATTTATCGACCTCATCTTGCTCTCTAAAGTCTCTTCTCTCATCATTGATGTCGCCCTTCTTCGAGGCTTGATCATCATTTTCTTCTTCTTGTTGAGGTTCTTGTTCTGGACTCTTCATGGTGACGTCATCATCATCTTGCATCAGCTCGTCGTCATCATCGTCACCTGTCAAATCGATCTTCACCTCCTCCCATGCTTTCTTGACATGGTCTTTGAGATCTTCTTCTCGGTGATGTGATTCAGCACTTGGTACTGTAGCCACGGTGATCTTGATTCGCTTTCTCCATCCATGGCTCACCAAAAATCCTTTGCACATCACACAAATCGATAATGGTGCAGGGGTTTCCATCAGACATGCGGGGCATAGTCGATGGTCCTCTTTGCTAGGATGATGAGTGACTGCTAACAATGATATTGCATCATTCCAATCCGGATGTCCAGGGAATAATCTGTGAGTATGACTGAAGTGACCGGTCTTGATATCGACAAGCTTTCGAAGTTCGTTCAGATCGGGAGATGATTCATCAGGCACAATGTTCCCAATGAGTTTGTCAAATCGTTCAATGGTGGCCACCCTTCTTGCTCCTTGCACGGAGAGCACAAGTTGATCTCTTCCCTTTGTGATCATGAGACGGTAGTAGTCCTTTTCCTTCCAATCGTAATACCAAACTGCATCGAATGATTCGAATGGAATTGTTTCTTGGACCAAAATGTGTCCGTCTGCTGATAATCGAGGGGAGAACTTGGCGATGGAATCGTACGTGATGTAGATGTAGACAAGATCAGTTTGTTCGATCTTCCTGAATCTCAGCACCGTCTGACTTCGTACGTCCCACGGTGCGAATGGCACGAAGAACGTATTGATGCGGTCGCCTCCTCCTCCGGGACGTAGTCCTTCTCTGAAGATTTGAGCGATGTTGTCAAAAGTGGTGCAATGAAATCCTCCTCCGAGAGTGTATCCTACTCCAGGGTTCATCTGATAGGAAGTCTTCTTGTCTTCGATGTGCACACCGCCTTGAACTCTTGAATGTGCCATAGGGGCACGGATTGCCACCGGCCAAAGCCAAATCTCTCGATCTGCTGTGCCGATCTCCAACCTCAGTGTGTGTCGTTCAAGTCTCGAGGTCAATCCATCATTGAAGTTGTTCATGATGTATTCCAACTCACCTTTTGTGACCTTGAGTCCTAGCACTTGAGCTCGGATTCTTTTCGTTTGCTTGTACTCAGTGAAGATCACTCTCTGGAAATTGTTCCACCTCTCAACAAGTATCGGGTAATTGACGTGGGTCGTTCCAGCCAATGTATGTTGGTCTCTCCAAATGTTGTCGTACTTCAAGATCGACTCGACATTGACCCAACCTGCTTCATCGCATGGTAGCCCACGGTGATTTCGATTGTCCTTGACGCAACCCACGGAGTGGCGTAGCGCTGCATTGAATCTTTTCGACAATTCGACTATCCATTGTGGATTTTCCCACTTGTTGCCCATCCATTCATTCTCGCCATATCGATGCACCTTACTCCATCCAAATCCAAGATATTCTTCTCCATTGATGCGAGCAAGTTGAAGTGTACCAATGTTGTGGCCATGTGTGAATGGTTGGATGTACTTGAAGTTCCAGTTGTCTCCACGTTGTTTCCTTTCTTCAGTAAGCCATTTCACATATTCATCATGATCAATGGGGTTCCAAGCGTTCAGCTCCTCAATGGTCGGCAAAACAGGCGGGGATTCCTCAGCCGCACGTTCAATCAGCACATCAAGCTCGTGACGATTCTTCACACCTCGGCTAATTGGGTTGACTTCGACGCCATTCACTAAGTACTGTCCTCCTTCTTCACGATCACCAATGTCGTACATAAAGGCTGACTGACTGTAGAAGCATTTGGTCACTTCTTCTTTCTCAGTGAATCTGGTTCTTCCCCAACGTTTTCCTCGTGGCATGACGTTCTTCGGGAGCTTGTCTTTTCTGCCTCTTGTCGCAGCTTTGGATCTTTCCGAAGACGATGGGGATTTGGACTTCTGGTCCATGATCAATCTCATGCGCCATAGGGTGTTCTTCATGTTCTCGTCATCTGGTGTGGTACATTCGTCAATGTCATGCATTCCACCACAAATGAAACAATATTGAACACTTGATGCGTCAGCAATCAGCTTCTCAAGTTGCTCACGGATGTTCCGCACCTCAGTTCGGCGCTTCTTCGCTTCCGAAGGTTGGCCCCCCATGTCCTCTTCTTCCTCCTCAATTTCGATGTCACCAGCTCCGGCATCAGTTTCTCCTGAAGTCTGTTCTGCTCGAGGGCCCCGCGCCGTAGGCGTCGTGGTCTCCTCTTCAGGCTCACCAACTTCATCCTCCTCCTCATCGCTTGATGAGACTTCAATCATTTCAGGATGGTCATCGTAGTTGGCTTCCGGGAGCATCGGCATTCTGGTGATCTTCTTCTGCAGGAGTAGGTCAAAGATTCCCGCTTCTTTCAAGACTGTTGTCACCATATTGTTCTCGACCGGTGGGATGTATGCTTTCCTGGATCGGTTTCGCTTCGTGTTGATGGTGTCGGTGGGTCGACATGAACTGCTGAAGAGCCAGAATGATTCTTCCAGTCCTGCGAGGCAACTGTCAAGGTTTGCCCCCCATCCACCAAACATAGTAGGGAATTGAATACCCAGGTCAAGCATCCCAAGCCAGAATTCGAAAATGTCGCCGACATACTCAGCTGTCGCAGTTGGATTGAGCATGGATGCGATTTCCTCCTTGGTCAATACGGTCTTCATGTAGTCATGATAAGCAACGTTTCCACCATCCCAAAGCAGTCTGTAAAACCATCGAATTCGGTGTGATCCACCTCCGCAATCCTCTGTACGAGTTTCACGTTGCACAGTGAATTGGGGCAACAGGTCTCGTCTGCATTTTCCCTTCACCATGTATGCAGGCA